TAAAAGCAAACTCCCTATCCCTCGTAGCTTCAATTTGGTATAGTCATTTCTCTCTCTTTCTCTCTTCATTTAGAGATACATTTCTGTTTATGGAGGAAGACACATGGCGAGCTTTTTCTTTTTCTTTTTGTTTTCATGATCGTCTACAACATATTCCTTTATTTGCCATTTCGACTGTCTCTCTCTCTTTTTTTTTTTTGTTAATGCCAAATCTATCACGTTTTAGATTATTACCAGCTCCTCTAAGACTGATCTGATACTTTTTCTAGGGTCTTGTCTTATAGTTCCTCTGGTGTTGGTTGAGCACCCCCACTAAAAATTAGTCTTTATAATGATGATGATAATTTCCTCCAGATGATGTATTCTTTATGAATCAAACAAAATTATTTTAAATTTACCACGACATTCGTGTGGAATGCGTAATCAAGCACATAGCCAGGGTATCAATATGATTATTTTCTTTCGAATTGTTGCTCAGCGACTAGAAGACAATTTGCTAGGCGACACTGTGAAGGAACTTCAACCTCATGACGTCTCCTTAGAGATGAAATGTTCCTCACACACCAAGAACACTCTGCAGTGAAGAAGAAAACAGAGCACAAACACTGACTGAATGATTACAATACATGTCTTACCACAGTTCACAGGTGAAAAGATATTAGTGTAGTCAATTCCTTGTCTCTGAGCATACCTTTTACAACAAGTCTAACTTTAAATCTTGGTTGTTCAGCAACTGGAATTCCAGATTTATGTTTGAAAATCCATAGGCAACCAATCACACGTTGTCCTTCTTGCACACTGACAACAGTCCATGTATGATTTTTGAGTAGTGATTCCATTTCCTCACACTTTCCATCGTTCCAAAACTCTCAATCATCATTCAGTTTTGCTTCTTGGTAGTTAGCAGGTTCTCTGGAATCTTCATCAACTGTGGTGATGAGTTCCTTTGCATCAAAATAGTCATCGTCATCTGGTGTTTATGTTACAAAGAGCTAATGGTAATTTTAATTCTGAGTTTTGCCTCATTTCTCTACTAGGTGGGGAACAACAACAAAAGTTAGTCGTGCTAACACTTTATAAACTAGTGACACATAGCAGCAAATCAAATCATGCAAATTCTGACATTCACAAGGCATTTCGAGTATGAAGTCAATTACAAAATATTAAAAATAACACAATCGATCATTGGGGTTCGAGCTTTGAAGCTGGGAAATCCGCACTGTACTCAAAGGAGTCCTTGCCATAAGGATCACCGGATCCTTTGCATGCTTCCTCGTACGTTCTCGAAGTAGATGCTGAATCAGCGTTCGGGTTCAAACCCGCAAGCTGCATTATATTCTCAATCTCTTTCACAACCTCACCCATCGATGGTCTATTCACTCCTTCCTCCTCCACGCATCTCAGAGCCAAGTCTACATATTTCTCAAACCCTTTAAGATTGCTGCTGCTTGCGATGATTGTAGTGTCCAACAGTTCTTGGAGGTCATACAAACTTCTGGACTTATTCATCTTGGTCTTCACCTCTCTCACCACGTATTTACCTCTCTCTATGGGACTTCTGCCGGTTAACAGCTCAAGCATCACCACACCAAACCCATACACGTCACTCTTCTCGGTCAACTGATTTGTCATGTAATACTCAGGATCCAAGTATCCCTAATTACAGAAAGATACTTTTAGTTTAAATGTATAAGAGAAAGATTATGATTGATTCTATACTCACCATCGTTCCTTTCACTTGTGTTGTCACATGTGTTTTCTCAGGGTCTCCCACAATTTTGGAGAGGCCGAAATCAGCAACCTTAGCAGTAAGATTTTCATCAAGTAATATATTGTTTGATTTGATGTCTCTGTGTATGATTGGAGGATCAGCAAGCTCGTGAAGATAAGCCAGACCCTTCCCTGAACCAAGTGCTATTCTAAGCCTTCTTGTCCAATCAAGTCTAATCCCACTCTTACCTGCATTATTACAATATATTCATTATTCAGCATCCAAAACTCTATCGCAAAGAGAGAGGTTTGGTCTTACTACCTGATAAACTGTCTCTAAGAGATCCATTTGGAATGTACTCGTATACAAGCATTTGCTCACTTCTATCGAAACAGAAACCCAAGAGTCTGACAACATTCTTATGATGGACTCTTGAAAGAAGTTCAATCTCAGTTTTGAACTCCAAACCTCCTTGCAAAGATCCTTGTTGAGCTCTTTTGATCGCTATGAGTTGTCCAGAAGGAAGAATCCCTCTGTAAACCTGTTTCACCATCAGAAGTATCAATAAAGGCCATGTATGTATTGTTTCAATTGATTCCATTGCAAAGAGACAAACCTTGCCATAACCTCCACCCCCAACATCATTTGACTCTGAAAAGTTTTCTGTACATTTCTTCAACTCTTCAAAAGTAAAAGCTTTTGCTCCCGTTAGCTGTGGAGCATCGATACTGCTCTTACTCGTATTCCATTTGGCTGAAACATACAAAAGAGAAACTGTCAGAAAAGTTTAAGTCTACGGGACAATATCATTTGTAGTAAAACTTTACCAAATGGATTGTTTTGATCAGTTGCTCTGTCTGCTCTCTTCCTTTGCCTGAGAGCGTAAACCCCAGCTAAAGTTAGCAGCAATAGAAGAACCACAGCACCAACTGCTGCTCCGATTATAATGCCCATGCTTGATGAGTTGGAACCTCCTCCTCCATCTGTGGCAAAACAAAAACTGAGCCATATTGATCAATACAGATTATGTTTTGACTGTGTGTGTTGGATCATACCAGCTAATTGATTGTAAGGATCGGCTCTGAATACATAAGGGCCAAATATAGGAGGAGGTTTGTAAGTCTGATTACTAAAGGCAAAATTAACAAGTGACATTCCTGTATCATTAAAACTCTCCCTTCCCAACGGAAAGACTAAGAGATCTATTAGAAGCTGATGATCGGTAGCGTTCTCTCTTATGTTTCTGACGGCTACGGAGTCCACAGGATAACTAGACTTCTTAAAGAAATTTGCTATAGCCTTCTGGAGAATTTCGAAGTTGGTGGAGTTGAACAACCCTGAGAAGGAAGGAGATCTGAAGTAGAGTGTTCCTGTTATTGGATGTGCGCAGCGGCACGAAGGACTTGCTTCCCTGCCCTGATCACACGGAGGGCATGTTGATGGGATTGTAGAATATGAGGTATTGGGTGGGATTGCTGAGCAGTAACTTGGCCTGTTACCCCCTTCCTGGCACACTGGATTATCTGCCAATCTGTAGATATGTAAACAGACATAAACAAACGATTTATAAGAAAACACATTTTGATTTCTGACCAGGGTACATACATTACTTGGATGAGTGTGTTAGAAGATGGTTGTTTATAAGCATCTATGTTGTTGTATTGTAAATCAACAAACTCCAACTGGTTGCTAAAGCTGGTACCAAAGTCTAACGTTGAATCTATCTGATTTCTCTTTAGGATACTGCGAGTCGAAAAAGCACAATAAGTACATATCTCACACCATAAGTTTTCATGTATTGTTTGACTTACACAGTCTGCAACTGAGCAGGGCTGAAAAATGATTTTGGTATCGAACCATTAAGTTTCATTCCTTCCATCCTTCTGCAAAGGAGAAGACCATTTGTTCTTTGTTAGGAGATCAAGAAGAAGAAAAGAGATAGGGGAAATTCTCATACAATGTTGCCAGGGAGCGTAATGTAGAGATCCATGATGGAATAGGTGAGGATTCTAAAGTGTTATTGCTCACATCTCTGTTACAAAAAACAAATCACATCATGGCATTATATTAATTATTGATAATGAAAGCTTGATAAGAGTAGTAATAGTACAGAACATCAAAAGAGGAGATATATATTTAAAAAAAAAAAACTTACAATGTGTAGAGACTGGTCAAGCTGGTTAGATTTGGAAGTGTGCCAGTAAATTTGTTGTTGGCCAAGTACCTGAAATGAATTCAACTCAAACTCTATCATTTTCTATGTTATATCTACAAACATAGAACACTACCTTAGTTGTTCACTTACAGTTCTTGAAGACTTGTAAGATTATTAAGACTTGTAGGAATATTTCCAGTTAGTTTATTCCTATCAAGGCGTCTGTAACGGAGAGTAAAGCATATTATGAGAATCAAATTTGGGATAAATAAAAAATTGAGCAAAGCTTTACTACTTACAACACTGTCAACGTTTTAACGAGGCTGAGTGTGTCCGGAATTCTGCCCGTGAATTGGTTCCCATCAAATAGCCTATGGATAAAACAACAAACAATGCAGTCATTTTGTTAGTTACCAGTCTCAAATTGTGCAAACTCTCTACATTCATAAGTATTATGAAGCTTACACATGTATCAAAGTCATGTTTGAGCTGAAAAGATTTTCTGGGATATCGCCCGACAGCTTGTTTTTCCCAAAATGGCTGAAGGAGAAAGTGAAGGACAGTCATACTAATTAGTATACTAAAATGTGTGATTACACACCAAAACAAATTTGAAGAAAAAAAGATTTGGGAGTATATTTACAAATGCTTAGTTTCAAGAAGCATGTCAAGTCCAGGTGAAGAAGTCCCATTAGAAACTGGAAGCGTTCCTTCAATCTGATTGTCAGCTATATCAAACCAATATAGTTTCGATAACCGTCCAATGGAAGCCGGAATTGTTCCACTGAATTGATTTAAATTTAGGGAGCTGTATTGAGGAAACACACAAATTAGTACTGATTGCTTTAGAGAGGCTTGAGAGTGAAAACTGAAAAAGAGATAAACAAAATCTTACAGATATATAAGTTGTTCTAGTTGCCCAATGGACTCAGGGATTTGACCAGTGAAACTACATCCCACAAGGATCCTGGAGAGAAAAAAAAGAGTTAGCCAAAGTAGGAAATAGGACAAGGATATGTATATAACTTGTGCTACAGATCTAAAGAGCATGTTTGCCTACAAATTCTTCAACTTCTTAAGTTCACCAATATTTGGTGGAAGTGGTCCAGTCAATCCAGTGTTGTATGACAAATCCCTACAAACATGGGATCATAAGGTGAATAAAAGTCCATTTCTAAGTAAAGAAAGTACAAGAAGAAGAAGAAAGACATACAAGATCTGCAGTTCAGACAAGGCTGCAATATCCCCGGAAAGCTTTCCTTCCACGTTAAGGTTACCTAGTGATCTGCAGCAAGCGACAACACTGTTAAATATCTGTAGAGGGTTATTGGAAGAAGCAGACACAAATTACAAATAACAAACAAGTTTTTACATTGAAACTACACGGTCATTGCTACATGTAATTCCAACCCAACTGGTTCCACAAGGATCAGCGCCTTCCCAACTACTAGGAGGCTTGGTCCATTCAGCCTTCAGGGCTTGTAAAGCAGAACCTGCACGAAAATTTCAAAGTAATTCAGATATTTTGAAAGTTTTATATCTAGAAACAGTGATCAGCATCTATACGACCATACTTACCGTCAAAACCATTTGTGAGAGAAGAAACAGAAAAAACTTGGAAGAAAAGGAAGATCAGGAGCATAAAGGCTCCAATTCTTGAACTCATCTTCAATCCGTCAATGGAACTCTTTTGTGTTACTACTTCTAATTGTTTCTCAAACAAAATTCATGTGGTCTACACAATTTATGAAAGACTTAAAAAAAAAAAAAATTACAGCCTTGCTTTCAAAGACTAATGTTTACAAAAAGGAGGACTTCGGACAATTTGATTAAAAATATATAAAAAAATAGGGAGTGGACCATAAAAACTTGGTCAACTTGCAAATAGCCGATAATGGGATTGTAGAAGGTTTCAATTCAGTAGGGCAATGGGAAGGAACAAATCATGAACAATACATTAAAGAAAACATATGAGTTGTCGTGATGCAAACCTTTTGTGGGACCTCTTTATATCTACTATACTCAAATAGTCAATACACTCAATTATTGATTTCAAAATTAAATATCTCCAAACGTATAATTTGTTTGCCCACAACGTTTAACTATCTCACAAAAAGAGTGGTGGTTAGCGACTCTGCAGAATGCTAACATACTGATATAGCTTTACTAACATCTTTCATGCAATAAAGTGATGGTCCAATAATAAACCAACACAAGCATTAACTAACTACTAGATTTTGATCCGCGCTTGAGAAGCGCGGGTTTTGTTTTGGTTGTAAGAACATTTATGAAATGATTAGATTAGTATTATATGAGAGTTTTATATTTGAATCTTATATATATTTAACCTTTTAGTTGAGTCTTTTAATTGTACACATAGCCGGATCACTTTGTAATTGAACTGAGAATCCGAAAAACATTAATCCGAAAGACATTAAGAAAGATAGACTTGTAACATAAAAAAAATTAGGTTCAGCATTCCAGTTCAAAATATAAAAAACACATGTTTTGTAAACCAGACAGCAGTTAAAAAGTTCATAGACATAACATCTTAAACATAAGAGATGAGGATAGAGATAACTTAACGCCACATTTGTGGCTCTCCTAGCTTTTCACAATCGAGATTGGGAACCTTCACATCAGCAAGACGGGCATGAGCAAGAGCAAGTTCCTGTTCCAGCTTGTCCTTGACATGGTTCATAACGCCATCGTTGAAGATCTCATCAAAGAGTTCAAGTTTACCGGAAATGCGATACACTTCCACCTCAGCATCATGCTTCGCAACAACGGCTTCATGAAACCTCATGTACATGTTAAGAATCCTTCGGTAATGATTAGTCCTATCATTCATTCCAGACGTGTAAGCCTCTTGCAACATTGATCCATGAAACTGGTGCGAAGACATACTTAAATAGTGATCTGCATGTTCATATTAATGGAAATAAGAACTTAGACAAAAAAAAAAAGATATATAACACCATCAAAACATTTAACTCTCAATGAAGATATTAAAAGAGACTATATATATGAAAGATAACCATTTGTCATGAAAGAAATCTTAAAATACTTAAGCGGGGATCTTATCAACTCTCAATGATCGGTTAATGCATGATCTAATGGCTGTTATAATCATATACAAAATAAACAACATGTTTCGTTCAACAATGAAAGATCTAAAAAAATAGGTAACAAAGTTTGATTCCATATGAAACAGAAGAAAAACTAAGAGAGATTGCAATATACTAAGATGTTGATAGGAGGTGATAGAGATTCCACAGGTAATTGCACTATAGATTACAAAAAAAAAGAAAAAGATAACTTACAAATTTGTTTTCTTCTGGTTTGTGAGAAAAAATATGGAGAAAAAGAGATTTTGATATGAGACGGTAGAGTTTCCATTTTATAGAAAGAATAAAACCGAGCTTTGCGTAGTTCCAACACTTCATTTAATAACCTATATTTTTTGTCGAAATTAAATGTATTTGCCATTATTTTTTTATATTATTTTTGCACATTACCAATATTTATTAAAAAAGCTTTAAATATTTTTAAACTTTTGACTGATAAAAGCTATCGTATTATGTGAATCTATGCGATTAATATTTGTGGTGCAATACATATTCCTGGTATTATGGAAACAATATTTATATCGAAAGATTTGTCTCATTTTGTGAAAATTGACATTTCTCTTATGTGTTATTTCTTATGTCAGATATTTTGTGTAATAAAATTTCATATCCAACTATGGAAACTAACTTACTAATGACAAAGTAGATATAATATATTATGTGATAGATTTTTATATGGAATTTTTATGTGATAGTTTTGTATATATAATTTGTATGTGAAAATTAGTTGGATATGATTTTTGTATATGAAATTTGATTGGATCAAGCGAAAGCCAATAGTAAACTTGGTCACATTTTTAATATAAATTGGATGTAAATAAAGCCAATTTAAAAATTTTCAATTAATTATCTCATAATAACATCTAAGATTCAAAACAAATAGTTTTAAAAACAAAGATGATTCTGAAGATAAACCATGATCTAAAATGAAAAATTACAATACAATATAATGTAAAATTTGAAATATTTAAAATAATATTACAAAAGCTTTATCCTATTTAAACAATCCACTGCGTAGATAATCTCAAAAGAATATTAATAAACTATCCTATTATTATATTTGATTTTTGCATGTAGAAAAGAAAGTCAAAAACAGTAATGATTATCTTGCATTGATAAACTCAATATATATACGAAATCTTTTGGCTTCAAAATCTAGTTTTTACTAAAATGTCAAATCATTACTTCTTGGAAAGAACATCACTAAAGTATAAACAATAAAAGAAGCGTGTTTTGGAAGTTGAGATATTTGTCAATCATATCAAAAGCACATTTCAGAACTGTGAAAACAAAATAATAACAAAAATATATTATAAAATTAAGATAACAAAATAAGAAAAAGTTACCAGTTTAAAAATCTAGTAGTTGTTTAATAGTGAGAGCCTTAATACTGCGTATCTAATCATTAACATGGTTCTAAAAACATTTTCTGTGAAGAAAAAATAAAACTAAAACGCCATAAATATGAATAAATCAAGCAATAAATAAAGTAAGAAGAGTAAATCAAGCAATAATAAACATTACTAATGAAGTCTTTAATTAAAATACCGGTTGAAACAACCGATATATGAAGTTCAACTTAAACAAAAAAAAAGTTTTAAATAAACTTAAATATTTAAGTTTGAGATATGGTTCCAATTAGATGCTCAGTCATACATCATTGGTTCACCCAGCTTGAACCAATCTATAGGCGGAACACGAACATCTTCAAGTTTGGATTCGGCAATGGCCAGTTCGAACTCGGTCTTCTTCTTCTCATGGTACATGGAAAAAAGAGACTCACATTCATGGAGGAAATCAAGTTTGGCCTCTAGACGAACCTTATTGAGTTCAACCAAGTGCCTTTCTTCAATGGCTCTTGTCTGGTCCCGACACATAATCAACATAGCCCTGTACCGCTTCATGGTCTCGAACTTACCCCTCTAGTAAGCTTCCTTCGCAATTTGTGATTCTTCCTCCATGAGTGGACCTTTCATTTTGAGATCTCTGTTACCTGCCATTGAGATACTTCTCAATGTTCAAGAAAAAATCAAAATTTAGAAAATATATGAAAAAAACAAAATTTAGAGAATATAAGTTTATCTAACCCTACACTAGCAATATATGACAAATATATTTAATCTCAGTGTTAATAAAATATTCATAAAACGAAGAACATATATGAAACACTTATATAACCCTAGAAGGCCAATATTCAATAAAAAAAGATTTGTAACCTAGATACGGTTTACAATTGAAGGCATAACAGATCTAACAACAGAAAGAATGTCTTATCTGCTTTACGATGAAAATACTCAAAGACAAAAAGTATATATTTTAGGAAACATACAACACACTATAGTAAACCCTAAGAAAAATGCATGTAAAATATATATAAACACCCAGCAAATACTCTCTATTGTTAGATCCTATGTATTTTTGCAGATTTATAAAATCTGCAGACAATGGATTTTGTACTATAACACTAAAATGAAAATATTGAATAAACTTTATGACGGTTTATGCAAGGATGTTTCGAAACAGTCTAAGATAGAAAAGATTTAACATCAGAACAACATCTACTAACGCACAAAAGAATAGAAAGAACATTGAAAGAAAATCGTACCTTTTTGCGATGAGAGAGAGATAAACGAAGAGATATTATGGTTATTGTAGTCAAGCGAAGAGTCTTATATAGATAAGAAGTAAACCTAAACATCAGTTCGTTTCAAGGCTTAATCTGACTAATAGCCCATTAGATATTAATAATTTAGAAGCCCAATATAATTGGGTCATAAATCTGTTCCTTTATTTTTGAAATGTATTAGATAAAAAGCATTTGATGTTTCGAAATACATGATCCTGTTTATTATGAGATTATTTTAGATAGAAAGTTTAATGATTTGTTAGTTAAATTGTATAGATTTGACTGAATGGTATAATATTAGGTTCATAATATAATATAGACTATTGAAAACTAAAGTAAAACTAAATTTTAAAGATCAAATTCATTCAAGAATTGGAAAGGCATTCTAAAGTATTTAAAATATAAAAGTGTATAGAACTGCCAACAGAAAAAATCAGAGATTCTGGAAGATCTCTTTGTAAACGACATTCAGTGTTTGTCTCTGAGGCTTTCCTTCATCGTCCACAATTAAAATCTTCAACCCCTTTTTGGACGTAACTCTTGAAATAGCCACATATAATTTCCCATGAGAAAAAACAGGTCTTGGTAGGTAGATGCCCACTTCTGATAGAGATTGTCCCTGACTCTTATTGATTGTAATAGCAAAAGCAATAGAAATAGGAAGTTGCCTCCTCCTCATCTTGAAAGGTAACTTCTTGTCAGAAGGGGTAATAGCAAGCCTAGGAATAAGAACTACTCGACCAACTTTACCCTTATCTCCTGTAATAACTTTTGCCTTTATAATGTTAGGGTACATCTCTGTAACCTGAAGTCGTGTCCCATTCATTAATCCGCCTGTGGGATCTATCTTTCTGAGCAACATAATAGGACAACCAATCTTTAAGCGAAGACTATGGTTTGGCAAACCTGAGA